GTTACACGAGTAATCCAAATAAAATGCGCTTTATTTTCAAAAAATGTTCCCCCGGCCTTACAATGTTCGGCCGGGGGTAGATATACATAGCGCCTTTATGGCGAAAGCAAATATATATAATTCTTTGTCGATGCACCTCTAGATGCATGAGTGTGAAAATGTTATCGTGGCTATAGAAAAATAATTTAATAATTTGATATTATAATTACAGGCATAAACGCAGTCACACGAGTAATCCAAATAATAGTACAATGGTACCTCGACTTATGAACCGCTCTACATATAAACTTTTCGATGTATGAACTTTTTCGTGCTCCATTTTGACCTGTAAATACGATCTTAATTTCGAAAAACGAACCACGATGCTTTCGTAATCCCGAGTGATAATATAATAGAAAACAGGGTTTCCAGATACAAACTTTTTAAGATACGAACTTCGGGCTGGAAGGAATTAAGTTCATAAGTCGAGGTACCACTGTACAAAGAAATATCTATTTTTTGTTTCTTAAACGTGTTGGCTCACGCAAAAGATTCTGAAAAAATTACACATAAATAACTATAATAAAATACTAATGTACTATAAAAATGTAAATCTGATTAACAACTTCAATGAAAATATAGCATTTCAGACATTTTCTCATTTTTAGAAAATCGATTTTGTGACCAGAAATTCTTAAAAAGTTACCTTTAATATTAAAGACACTCGAAAGTTTTTCATTCGAAATATTCTAATAAGAAAGCATATATAAATTGAGAAAGAAAGTTATTTTATTTCAATACATCACGCATTTATGCATTACACGAAAGTTAATATTATATGTAAGATTTCATAATCAAGTTGTGACTCTTGAGTGCAAAAGGTTAAAGGGACTGAAAGAAATCAGCTATTCTTAGTTTCAACAGAAAGCGTTACGATCATCTATGAATTCAGAAATATTAATTCGAAAAGTGGATTTGAAAAATAGATTACAAGGTGGGAAACTATGCTAACAGAAAAAAAGAATTATATTTTGGATTAATATTTAAAAATTTATAATTTAAAAAAGAACAAAGTACTAAATCTTCTGACTTGATTACTTGGTTTCTAAACTGTCAATAACCGTGGCTTCGTTGTTAATATGAAACATGAAGTGAACTCCGAATTTCTTGATGAGAGAGACGTTCCTTACGACGTCAGTTCTTTTTAAATATGTGCAAAGTTACAAGGATGCATTAATCAAATTTCACACTTGAATCAGATAAACCAAATTGTTTCATATTTGATTATTAAACGAAATTTATTTAGATTAATGGAAATCGATAACCATGAATTTAGTTGGCGCGATACAGGAGTTTTGATTTAGATCTGGAGTAAGAGAAACAACTATTTTGTTGACGAAAAGATACTTTGTATTAAAAATAAAGTGCAAAGGCGTTAACATAATGGTGATTTATGAAAGTTTTTCTTGTATTCTACATGTCTGCGAAAGTTATAATTGCATAAATATTCGCAATTACAGAATCACTTTCGCGTTATTGGGTAAAATGTACTTCAGGCATACGAAAGCAAGTAGATACACTGCGTATTTCACTGACGCACACAGGTTTTGAATTCTCGGAGCCCAATATCTCTATTTGGGACATGGAATGAAGTGTTAATGATAACGCGGACGATTACTCTGGTGTGTCTGAACGAACGATTAACTAAACAACTAAGCACTGTGGTCCGATAAATTTTATCATTTATCAACGAACGTAAACGGTGCCATGGGAACGTGGTACGTTCATTTTCAATTCGCACGCAATCTCCAGTAACGCCAAGTAATAATATTTCTATTAATAAATACCCAAATTACGAAAACATCCACTGTTTTCGCTCGATGATGAATTAATTGAACCATCGTAACTGTGGACGTATCGAATTGTTTCTTACATAATACCAGCGGTAGATGTTTTCACCGAAGAAACTAAAGTTTGCAATAAAAATAATATTTGCACCTGCTTGTATATAAAAAAAGTACACCTTTATAAAATAACAATAATTATTCTAATCAATGAAGTAATTACATTTGAAAAGATTATTATGAATAAGCATTGCAAACAGACTTCCATATCCTGGAAATTTCATATTTACTCATTTCAAAAGGATAAATAATTCTTACGTAGATATTTCTTGCAATGTTTACATTTCTATTGAAATCGTGATGTTCCGCATTTTGTAACAATTTCACATTTTCGTGCGTACACCAGGATACCTTATGCATTTCACATGAATATTAATACTTTATGCACTGACACCAGAAAGCCATTTGATTGAATATTGCTTGCCAAGGATAACGTAATAAAAGTGTTTACGATAGTTTGTAATAGGTCATTAAGTGATACATTTAACGTCGGGCATAGCGGTGAAGTTAATCTGTCAACTGCTCTTTTGGCATTATTTATTAGGCTTACTGAGTGATACATAATTAAGTAATTTGTAACGTGGCTTTAAACTGCCGTCTGATGTTTTATCTTCCACAGTGTCCCTCGCCAAAAGAGACGCGCATGAAAATATCGAGGTATCGCAGAACACGATTATCGGATCATCCCGGAATAATGCGATTTCCTATGCATCGTATATCTCTCAAAATTATGGTAAACGAACGCTTCTTTAACCTAAAATATATTCTCCTTTGTTATCTACAGATCGTTCTTCATTATCTAGATTGGATTAAAAAACAGTTTCGTTCATCTTAATTTCTCAAAAATAAAAGAACCATGAAAAGATCGCACTATTTATTATGAGCCAATACTTTTCGCAACGACGGCCACGCACAATACGAAATCAATTCGAAAATAGAAGAGCTAAAAGAACAGGTACTGAACCGAAACCGCTAGAAACTCTTCCGCGAGGCATTTTTCTACGTTCCTTTTCAATTTTCACTGAAAGCACTTTACCACTCACGTTCTGCATCTCTTCCCTATATTCCTGCGCGACGAATCGTGGTGGCGCGTTATTTAACGTAAACCGTGTACGTCATTAACCTTTATGCGAGCAACTGAGTATCTGGATTTTTAATTTTTAACTTTTAATTTTTATTTTTTTAATATTTTTCATTTTCTTCGTTATAATTTATTACGTCCTTATGAAAATCTGATTAAAGTACTTCGGATTTCTATGTTTTGAACCATTTTACGCCGATTCACGCTATGAGAATGAAAACTTTATGCAATAATACTGCAATACTGAAGTTCGAAGAGACACAAACGTTTCGGTTGACCACGTAACGGTTAAACAGAACAACTCGCGTAATCAAAAGTTTACACGTGACGACAATTCAGGCTAGTAATAAACGAAATCTCAATGGGCGAATTATCTTTTGTCAGTCGCTCGTTAACAGCTCGGGCAAGCATTACGGCGGACCGATAAACTTTATCGTTTATCAAGTAGCGCAATGTTATGAAACACAATACGATTACTTCAATTCGTAGGCTGAGTCAGCCTTGAAAACGGTCGACCAGCATCCTGCCGTTGTTCTTATGACCATTTCGAAGGGAAATGCACTAAAAAATGCTTCGAGCAACTACATCGTCTTTGGTCGCACGAGTATTAATTGTATATGAGTTGTTCACTCGCCAAATCGATTAACTCCACTTTGTGAATTTATAAAGAGTTTATCATTAATGCGCTTCATTGGCTCTTAACTTTTTATATTTGATATAAATTTTATTATGACTGGGTTTAGTACCATGAAATAACAAAAAGTCTTTTGGTCATGGAAAAATTGCAATAATAATTAAAGTTACTTCAAGAATATACTATTTTATGAATTTTAGATTGAAGCTATACCTATGTTAATCAAGTAAAATGCATTCTGTAATGACGATTCGATGTTACATTTAACGGGAAATTTTGAAAATAAATACGTAACTGTTGCATCACTTTTCTCTACTCTTTGTTTTATAGAGTTAATAAATTTGTCTAATGAGTAACTCACACATAATTTGGCGTAAATAACAACTTATTAACGTCAAAACTATCAGATAGGTTAACAGGTTGAGTGCCGTGTGTACCACAATAGTAGCTCTATTTTTCTAATTATGTTCTTAAAAATTTGAATTTGCATAAGGATCTGCAGTCTACTTATAAGTATAAATAAAAGCAAATAATAAAATTTAACTAATACAAAGCGGTAAATACTGGAAAATCTTAAGGCAACCAAGTGACATACTTAAAATTCCAATAGTATTTACTTGATGCTTTTAGTAAGCACTATTTTATGCATTCGAATTTTAAGAATTTACCGTGTATAAAGTATAAAACCAAGTATTTAAAAAATTCCTAGTAAAATCTAATACTTCTTTTTATATATACGATCCAATGATTCGGTTAACATGTTCACAACCAGTGTCACATACTTGTAACGCTTCACCTTTTGTATCTTGCGTAAAGAAAATTCAATTAAGTTCAGATGTGTTTGTGTCTGACACTAAACGTACGGGAACTTTGTATATATCTATACCTACCGTAACCAGACAAATAATTGATTCTAAAATAAAGGTAAGCAAGTTAGACGATAAATTATTCTTATTGGAAACAGCAACGAAAGGAAATTGAAAAACCGGTTAATCGGACAATATAGGAATTGATTTAATGTCAAATGAACGAAAAAACCGGTCATTTAACCGGTTACGGTGCATTTAATGTCAAAATCCTAACCCACGGTGCAAAATGTTGAAAGTTCACAGATTATTTTCTTGAAATTGATTAGATTTTTAAAAGGACGATATATTGCATTTAATAAAACCGTGTAAGAGATTAACCTTCATGTAAGGAACCGAGTATTTAGATAAACGTTTTTAATTTTCGATTTTATATTACAATATTATAATTGTAATTATAAAGATTGCTACTAAAACAAACGTTGGTGGTGAACGTATCAAGGTTCTACTGTACGTATTTCAAACACTTGAAACAATGAAATTATTAGGCAGAAAGTGCAAACGAAATTCGAAATGCAAATTGATGTTCCACTTACCTGCTTGCACTGGAGCCATATTAAGATGGAGTTCGGATATCTCAGAAGGCCGCCTAATCCAGAACCACTGGTAGTCCGCTGAACTCTCAAAATTTCCGAGAGAGTTACGCCGTGATTTTCAAACACTTCCAGTGACCTGAAATCAAACGAAAAGCAAATGTTATCGGAGTTCACCGAGAACCGTGTCTCGGCGATAACTTCACTTTCATATCGTTCTCGTTTTTTCGACCGCGTTGCAGCGGCGTTGTTAACCCGTTCACTGCCGCAATAGTCACGAATGTAATCGACGCTCTTCGAATTTTGAAAATGATTATAGATAGGTTGACATCGTCGAATAGAATATTTTTAGATAGAATAACTATCTATGTATTAGTGTGTAGAATACATCATATTACTGGCTAACTAATGATTATTATGCTTAGCACGTTCATTTCCAAGTGTACCATTTTTGGTACACACGTAGTTTTTACAAGAAAATATTTTTGCGAGGTGTGTGGCAACGAATAGCAGTACACATTGAGAAACAGCGAGAACATAAAAAAAGTAATGTATACATGAAAATCACCAAACTTGAATGTAACTTAGTATTTCATTTAAAGAAATCAATGCACTTCATAAGCAAGACATAACTGAAATTTCCGGTGGCACGAAATGTGTTAATAAATTTATTTTGCAAACGTATCAAATAAATGTGCTGAAGATTGCTTCGGTAAGTGTTCTTCTAGAAACGTATCTTTCGAAAAATTTCCTTGGTCGATTGGTAATGGTTTCTTCTTTTGTCGACGAAAATAATCGACGTTTATGTAAAATATTTATTTTTAAAAATTAATCTCGAACATATCGGGTGTTTTTTGCGGTAATCCTTGCAATATGAGGAGGTTCGATTGCGAAATCTGTTCGCGCGAAGTTAACGTAACTCATTATTCCGGTGAAAAGTTAATACAAGTGAAATACGTATCTCGCTAGATGTTCTTTTTCTTCGAATAACTGATTTGATATAATCACAGTGGACCAAATTTCAGAAGTTGTACAGAGTATGGTGCAACTGACAGTATAACCAGGAAGACAATAATATCATAATACGATAAGAATATTTTTAATAATACTTCGAACAATGTGTAGGATCGGAATTTGTTTGAGCGGTTCACTCGGACCCCTACTGGAGTGTCTTCATCACTTATGACTTATATCGCTGATGAAAATGGTAGATTATATGGTCGATGATCAAGATAGCGTTGTAAAATTGAAATCATAAAGTTTCTCATAAAATGTCATTTTTCCCTACGACTTCATTAAAATTCAGTAGGATACTAAAATCGTTCGTGATCAACTTACTTCGAATAAGAGATTGATCGGTTCATAGCTATACTTGAACCTTTAGATCTTTAGAATAATAGTTAAACGTACAAGAATAGTACGTTTTAAATTAATGATTTCGAAAAATCAGATTTTGAATTTTGAAAATATTATAATAATATAAACAAAAGGGTATATAAAATATAAGATACATAATACAAAGAAATCATAAAAATAAGAAGGCTGTAATCCTATAAACTTTTAGTCATGTTTATTCGAGAAACCGTTTACAGTTTACTGCTTTTAAAACAGTTCTTCGAATTCCAGATTTCTTGTAACTTTCACAACAATCACACTCATTCTTACATAATACTTTTAGTAGAATTAATAATGAATTACTGTTACCACCTCGAATCACAAAGGACACGCACAATTCTAATCACGTTAACGTATTAACTGTGGTAGTTTAAAAAATCTCTCGATTTGCGCGCAATAAAATTAAAAAAATAAAGTGTGTATTAATGAAAAACCAAAGGAAAGCAAAGAAGAATTACACGTTTATCTGACAAAATAAGTAATTCATCGTTGAAAGAATTGGTATCATTTCGAGCTTTAAGATAACGTGTATAGTCCTCAAACGCAGTTAACTAGTTAAGGCATTAGACAATATTAATATTAAATGTACTTAACAGTTTCCAAGTACCTAATTATCAAGCCGAAAAACGAACTCGGATGAACGTATAACGCAAATTAATCGCAGCATGACAATGAAACCGGAATAAGTGAAGGTACACGGAAATTGGAAATTAATATTTCCTTATAATCTGAAGAACGCTGCGATTTCAGTATAACGTAATTTAAAACTCCTTTACGTAATTAGAATTTAACGATGTACCGGCTCGAGTTTCGTTCGCATTTTAAATGAACATTTTCAATGGGACGGTGGAACGTTCGTGGAATTCAAAGACCTAGGCCGGCCGCTTATTTTTGGAATTTACACAGCAGCTCTGCGCTACCGTAATCAAAGTTTTTAACGTCTAAACATCCGGCACGGTAACCCGATAATTAATCCAATGGCACAGACAGGATTACTGGGTCAAAGCCAAACCGCTTAGCGATGATATCGTATCGCGCGTTGGGGAATTATGAATCTGGAAAATGAAATTCTTACCACGAACCATGTAATGTAAATCTTCTTCAACTCGGAACGAAGAATTTTCTGCAGGGATATATTATACATTAATTAGAATAGATCTGAAGTTATCTACGAATCAAGCTTTCCGGCAAAAAGGAATACGGGGAATTGACGCATTCTTGAATGAACATATGTTCGCATATGACCATAACATTCCGAGAGAAAATATTGGAATACAATGAGTTATGGATTCCCTCTTCCGTTATCTTTATGCCTATCAAAAATTCACTTTAAGAAGATAAAGAATTAGTGGCTTTCACAACTATCCACGAATTAATCCCTTACTGATCAAGGATTTTTCTGAAGATTGAATGGTTAAAGCGATTAACTTTAATTTTTAAATTTTTTCTAATTTCAGTGCTACAATATTTAATTGATCCTTTATATACGCGGTTTCATCAAACTTTACTCATTTCCGAATTATCAGGTCAGACACATTGGCATTTATATAATTCGATTTTTAAATACTAAAAAATAAGGAAATTACGTACTGTTGGAACATGATTTGATGTTTAGTAGAAAGGAATAGGGGCAAGAGATGCCTTTCTAGTTTACAGTCTTATAGTTTTGATTGGTTACGTGTAACCCTAATGCCCGATCAACAATATCAGAAATTAGGAAATGAGACTAATAGAAATTTAGGTGACAAGAACTAAAAATTGATCGATCGATCGAATAAATTTGCACGATAATAGTATAAGGGTATAAGTAATTTCAATTAAGTTTGTTGGACTGAAAAATATCCTGCCATGCATTAACTCGTTAACTGTGGAATTTAGTTTTAAAAATCTCTTCTTGTGCACGCAATAAAACCAAACAATGAAGTGTAGACTCGTCAAACGCAAAGCAAATGCACCTACAATATATTTTAACGAAAAACCAAAAGAAAACGGAGTTTTCTAAGAAGATAAGAGCATGGAGTTGTCATTTATTTATAGTGCAGTATCAACACTAAAATAATTCTAACATGCGCAATTGTAAAAGAAATCATAGAGCAAAGGTATGAAAACAGAAGGATCGCACAGCGGAAGGTCCGGAAAGCGTTTCATCCGGCGGCCCTCTTTGTCGGAAGGATACCATCAGAAACCCGGATGTACCCACGACTGATTATCGTCCTGCCCCTCCGGTTTATCGTTCGAATTACCGAATCGATCTAAAATCGAGTCGACCCTCCGTCACAGTTCAACTACGCACCGCTCGGATTTTAGAGACCGTCAAGATATGAAGCATGTGCGCGTGTCTTTTTCATTTTTTTCTTCCATCGAACCGTTTCTGCGGCTCAATAAACTTGACTCTTATGAAAGAGGGGTGTCCAGATACCGATTATATCTCGTGACACTGCGACTTTATCGTTAGTTTTGACCCTCGCCACGATATGAGCCACGTTTCTTTTATCCGGTCCCCTCTACATGCTCTATCTTCCTCTCTCTCTCTCTCTCTCTCTCTCCGTCGCTAACGCGAGCGCATCCTCTTCTCTCGTTTCAAGGGGGTCGCGCAAGGATTGCGCAACGATCGAAGCGAACTGTGCAATCGGCGGGAATTGGAATAGGCGGCGTATAGGTGGGAACCGAACGAAAAAACGGACTTTCTCCCGGGACAAGTCAATCCGCGGCCACTCTGGCCCCAAATGACCGTTACGTCATCCGACTTGCGCTCGCGGATTTTGCCGACACGGACAAATTGTGGAGACCGGGAAGCCCGACAGTGTCCGGCGCGGGCTTCGTGTTCCTTCTTGGTCTTTCTATCTTTTTTTTCACCCCTTCGACGGGAACGTCATTCGCGGCGAACATACTCATCGTCTTACTGGGACAATGATAATGTCATTAAGGCGTCTGCCGAACATGAGTGGATCGTGTGTGGTAGACGTTTTATCGCGTGAGACGATAAACGTTTGGTTGAACGGATTCAGAAAGGGTGGAGAAACTTGTAATCCATTCGCATCATTAGTGCATGTGTATGATTTTAGAATAGATTTTTAGTGACTGGTCAATTAATAGTACTATATTGTTATATTACTAATATCCTACCGCTGTACGATCTTTCTTTTCTATAACCGCTTGTCCTATGATTTCTTTTACAATTAGAATTATTTTAGTGTTAATAGTGCACTAGAAATAAATGAGAATTTCATGCTTTTCCTATGCGTACATTTACTCTAACGATTAAGAATTTGTAATGGAGAGATAACGTTTAAGTTTAAGACAAAAGAATGGTACAGTATATATGTTCGCTAACTTCGTTTTGAAATCTTTGTTACGAGTCTGACAAAATATTGTAAGATAGGGGTTAATGAGAATCATATCATATTGTTAATATTACTAATTAATATCACTATACTGTTATATTGTTATTGTTACTGTCATTATTTTTATTGTTATCCTTATTTGCTATGATCTTATGATTCTATATTATGCAATCAGTATGAAAGATCTTGATTTTTCCGTTTCAATTTCTTTGAGCAATTAGATCTCCATTTACGTCTTCCGATGGCCGATAGTTTCCGGTATCAAATTTTCTAATCTTCTCGCGATTCCGACAATTCGAAGTTTGCTTAAAAGCATATATGTGTTACACAGCATTTGCCTCCCAATAGGAATTGTTGAAACACTGTGGCTGGCATGTGCGTTCACTTCAACCTTGTATCC